AAATCAAGAATTTATTCCTAAGATAATGCAAACAAAAAGAATTAACTTAGATAGTGATTTGTAGTTTTTTTAAATTATTAAAAATAAAATATTTATTATATTTTTGCAAAACAATATATAAAATATAAAATATTTTTAACTTTATATCTTTGTTGTACATTTACTTATTATATAATTAAACTTAAATTGTACACTTTATTATAAATTTAAAAGTTTTATATAAAGTTATATCATACATTAAAATTATATTTTAAGATTTGTATACACTTCATAATAAAATTTAATTGTACACTTATATAAAGCTTAAAGACAAAGGTTATATATATAATAATATTAGTATTCAAGGGTTCTCTTTGATCTTGGTATCTGTTTTATAAGGCTAGCTTTTACAGTAGAGCCATTGAAGATCTGACTACCTCTCTACTTAGGTCTTTTCAAATAGACTTCTTGTTACCCAATTTCAATAGATTTACATAGCCACAAGGACTTATCTAGTGTTTATACCACTAAATTGCCAGTTTGCATTCCTTTATGTAACCATAACCTTTTCTCAAAGAACAATGTTATGTGACCTGTTACACAAATGTCCCATAACCTACCAGTTATGCTAGTATGACCACTATTACAGGTATTCTAACCCAATTGTTAGTAACAGTTGCTGTAATATGAATATTATATAGCTGATTATCCAAATTTTTGTTGTCAATGGAATTTGAACATCCAACCTACCACTTGGAAGGTTAACAATCTGACCACTTCACTAGGTCACCACACCCTGTTAAAACTTTTTGTATAAATTTATATTCAACAATTTAAATATGAATTATATATATTATATATGTCTTTTATAGCAAATATAAGATTTAATTATATATTGTTAAGCTAAAATACTAACATGTAATACATGTATTTAATAAGTCAGTTGTTACAAAAAATATAGATATAATAGTGAATTAAATGACAATACTCATAATTCTATTATTCTATATTAATCAACATTAATTTATTACTATAATATTAATTTATTACTGTATATAGTAATATGTTTATAGTATTAATTAGTTAATATATATAAAAAAAATTATCATTTTTCTATTATTTTGTAATTTAATTGATCAAAATTTGGGATACTCATATCAATCATTGCTGTGTTAATAAGAGAAATAAATTATATGTTGCTGTATTGATAGCAATCTCTAAGAACTACATCAGAATTCTGTTAAATTTTTATTTTTATATAATAATTATCCAATAGCATGTTTTATTTTAATATAATGTTATATAATCAGAAAGATCAAAACAAACTATTTTCTTTTCAAAAATTGCTTATTTTTCAAAAACTTGCATAAGAAACCATCTTTTGAGCTTTAACAAAAAAAATTTTTCAAGTAATTTTACAATTATTTTTCTGAAATCTAGTCTTAACTTAAATGAATTTGAAGATTTTTAAATATGATTATGTGAAGTAAAAATTTTATAACAATACTAAAGAAAATCTACAGTGTAAAACAAAAAAAACTAAAATTAAAAATTGTATAATTATAAGAGAATGATCACATAAAATTATATAAAATTTATATAATTAGTAGACAAATATTAAACAATTTATTAACTAAAAAATTAAAATGATATTTGTTTACTATTATTTTTGATTACTAATTCACATCATTACCTCATTGATGTTACTAAACTAACTAATACCTAATTTGAAATTTTATTCCATTTCTCTTTCATATACCATTCTAATTCTTGCAAATTATATAATATACATTTTACCACATTATTTTTTACAATGTATTTCAAATTTTTGATAGAGTTTAAATAAGAACTGTTTGATGGCCAGTCCATAAGTTCAGAAGTATTTTCTAAAAGAAATGCTTTAGCAAATTTGCTTGTGTGTTTTGAATCATTATCTTGTTGCCAATACTAATATTTACCAAACATTTTTTTTACTTCAGGAAGGTGCTAGCACACAATTTCAACATAAAATTTCTTGTTTATAATTTGTATAAAACAAAATAAGCTTAATTTTCCTTTTACTGAAAAACTATCTCATACTTTAATTTTAGTATAGTCTTTAGAAATTGGATAAATTGGTCATTAATTTTTCTTATACCAATACTTAAATGTATTTTGAAAGAGTTAAAAAAAATTCATCTGTAAAAAAAGTTCTGTTCTAATTATCATTAAGATGAGCCTGGGCCCATTCTACTCTCTTTCTTTTTTGATCATTAGTCAGTATGGAGGTCTTTTGTAAAACATTTTTTATATATTTCATTATAGCCAAATGTCTTGTAATTGTTCAATATGATACATTAGTACTTATATTTGATAGATATGCTGCTAAAGTTCTTGTTGAAATAGATAAATCCTTTTTAATTTGCTTCACAATTGCCCAAGAGGTAACATTACTAATTTTTTTTGACTGATCATTCTCTCTAGTATGGTTAACATTTTTATACACTTTTAACTTCTTTATATTGTTATAAATAGTAATCCAGAGAATATTAGTTTGAGTATAAAGCTCTTTTGTATTATGTACACCTTTGTTCTACAGGTATACTAAAGTTTCTCACTAGCTTCTTTTTTTAAATACTTTTATATAGCTATTATTTGGAGATACAAAGTTACAACACACTTGTGAATTACAAATTGCTAAAAGTAAGTATTCAATATTGCTTCTAATTTGCATTTTGCAGATCTTAGATCTGATTTAAATCAAATGAATTTCATATGATTTTAAGTCATATGTAATTTTGTGATTTTTTTTGTCCTACACTGTATATGAGTAACTGGTCACATGAAAAGTAAAAAAAATCTTACTTTTATTACTTTTATTACTTTTATTACTTCAGGTAGATTGACAGCATATAGGACATTTACTTTTTTTTTATTATAGTGAGGAAAAGGGTTTTAATAATAACATCATGTAAATCGATAATGTAGAGGAAATTAACCTTGAATGTAAATAAAATTTTTATTATTGACACAGGTGAAATAGTGAGTCAATTGCTTGACAGATGAATATATCATGTAACCTACAAATAGCTAAGTTAATAAGATGTGGTTAGATTTGAAGAGTGGTGTGTTTATGATCATAGGTTTTACAATATATTGTCATGAAAGCAGGAAACTATTTGGGTTAAAATGTATTGCAAGCATGAAAACTACTCCTCATGTAAAGTTCGAAGCCTTTATTATATACTGTTATATTACATATATGCACCTACAGCTATTAAGCAAACTAAACTTATTATTTAATGTATACATTTTTAATGTAAATATAATATATCTCTTTTCATATAGTTTTCCCTTATTACCACTATTACCCTTATAATTTCTAAACGACTTTTACGCCGATAATCCCGGGAAACCCATTTTAGGTAGATGATTGACGTGCCGTTAATTGCGCTACTGCGCCACATCGATCATCCCCGCCACGTGATTCCGGGATCACGTTTCCACTGCTCACATTATAAATAAAGGGCTTTCCAAGTACATACATTTTGCATAATAAACCTAAGTATTGAACTCATATTAAAAGTGAAACTATAACCCAACACAAACTAAAAACTATCGTTAAACCCCTCGTTGTACATATCGTTCGTTTGTAAATCACTAAATCGCATTTTGATCGTTCGCCGTAAGTCACGTGACCAAGCCGTTAACGCAAGAGAAGGATCCAAACCCGATTCGACGTATCGTAACCACATGTTAAGGAAGTAGAAAGAAGATAAGAGGAAGCAAAGGGTTAATAGAAGAATAGGTTGAAGGAAAGTCTTAGAAGAGAAGATTAGTACTTACCTATGGATAAACCAACCAGCCAAATCTAACACGCCTATTTCGACTTAGCCGTCGTAGGTTACACGAGAATTGGCGCCGATTTACTGAACAACAGTATCAATTACAAAAAAGTATTCATATTATAATTTACAAATAATTTCAAAGTACATAAACATTTACAATTTGTATGCAGTTTTAATAGAAGAATTCATTATTACTCATTTTTTATCCTGACCTTTTACACGTAAAATGCGTACAAATTAAAAGTTTACTTAAAATGATATTTAATTAATAATTTGAATTTTTTGTCTCTTTTAAACGTACTGATACTAAGAAAAAAACTAACCGTTCTTTTATAAAAACACGATTTTTATTCAACTTATAGATATCCATCCAAAATTCATCAAATTCAAAATAATAATAATGAAACTGAAGAAAGTTATGAAAAGCCATAATAACGACAAAGTCAATTATAGAAATAACGAGCATGACAATAAACATGACAACGAAATATTGATAAAGAATAAATGAAGACCAGGCTAATTCATTTACCCAATCTCAACCTCGATTTCTATCCCTATTTACTTTTCGCAAGCAACGTCAAGACGATGATACTCAAGAATTCACTATACTGGTTCAAATTTTTCTTAGCCGTTAAAATAGTTGTTTCTTAAATTAGAGAAGCATCAATATAAATTTTAAAATTTTGTAATAACTGTCCAGGTTGCTATTAAAGGGTAATATCCTGGCTGTGGTTAAAACTATAATAATACTTTCCTGTTATGTTTGTGCACATAATAAAAAAATTGATATTTTCCTTAAAAAAACTTTATATTAATATATAGGCAGATGTTTTTTCAACAATGTTATCACTAAAGTTCTAATAATTCAATAAATACAAAGACAGAATACAATATATTCTATTATAAAAAGAAGAAATGATGATAGCATGTCATCTAGAACAGTATACTGTAACGCGTAATTAATCAATAAAGTCACGAACTTTTGATCAACCCAGGTCACGCTAAAATTGTGAAAAAAATGCAAGAAGCTCTGTTTGACCCTGTATTCATAAAGTAGTAAAAATGTCGTAAGGCAATCTAGTGCGGCCCTTAATGAAAAAAAATTGGGATAATTATACACCGCTAAAATTTTATGTTAAGCTTATTAAACTAAAGAAATTCATTATAGAATAAATCGAACAGATTCGTGATGTATCATATAATAAATTTTGTATTCATGTTAATATAATGTGACCTATATTTATAAATAAGTTAGTCAGTATATATCAAATGAGAAATAAAAAGCAGAAATAAAAATTTTGTAAACTAATTTGACATACGAGCTAATCTGAGGTTTTTGCGAATATTGTTTATGTGCAAGAATGTCTCTGATATTATTCAAAAGCTGCTGATATGTAAGTTCTCTATTTTCTCTCATTCTATTAAGAAATAAATTATAAGTTTTTATGCATGAAAATTTTATAGATTCTAACAATCATATTTACGCTTTGATAAAAGCATAAGACATGGCTCCTGTATTGCTTCCTTCTTCATAAGCATCTGCTGACGTCTGTTCATCTTTGCACCTGTTTTTCAATGTGAAAAATGTAAAAATCTGCAATTTATTTTAGATAAATTGAAACCATCATTAACTCACCCGCTTAACGTGATCACATCTGCTTTACTCGACTTGTTCATTAAATTTTTTCCAGTCCTCATAAATGATGATGCATTGTTCTTTGCAAATGAAAATAATTGTGCCTTATTACCTTTCAAAAGTGACATACCAACTTGCATAAGTTGGCTTTTATCCTCAGTAATAGACTTGGGTGCTTTAATCATTCCACGAGTGGAATATGTATATGGTAAATCAAGTGCTGATCCAGAATGACATGAATCAAAAATTCCAAATAATCTTACGCCTATGAAAGATACATTTATTAATTAAAAAAATATTATTACTTTATTCGGTAGCCTACTATGGAAGTGTTTGCCAAATAACTCGAGTTATTCGTTATTTGGCAGCTTACGAAATCACTACCAATAACTCGAACATTTAGCAAACACAATCGTCGTAAACCACCGGATAACACCGTTATTGTATGCTACGCAGCCAATAACTTGTTTATCTGGCAGTGAATTTAATGTGTCATTTCTTGGCCCTTTCGGGCTCTGAAGCTGTCATATAAATTTCACAACGGAAAATGAATTATTTCACAAATAATTCTCGTTATTGGCTGCTTCGCATCCAATAACCATGTAGTATTAAAAATACTTAAAGAATGCAGAATTATTTTACCCTCTATAAGTGGCTTTACCATGATTTCATGCATTTCCTACAAATAATTGAATTTCAATAACTGTTAAATAATTAAGGCTTAAACTTTATGTCAAACTTACATCATCAATTATTTGTCCATTTTGTGAATAATCGACTGGTACAATAGTCTCATCAAATCCATCATCTTCATCTCCATTTGTATCTTTCACTTGGCCTCCATGTCCACTATAATGAAAAAATAATCTAATAATCAAAACTTAATAATTAGTTTGAATTAGTATAATAAATTGAACAATTAGCAATTAATCAATCTTACATATCTCCTGGTTGGGCATCTCGTACAAGCCATTTCATTGCTTCCAGGATATTAGCTTTATATGGGATCCTTGTTGGATCTTTCTGATCATCAGTCAAAATCACCATATCAGTTTCTTGGAATCCATATAATTCCATTAAAAATCTCTTCATATTAGCTACATCATTTAAGCATCCTATTTAAAATTTATTTTTTTTAGAAATGTAATATTTGTATTTTAACTCAAAAAGATTTTATTAGAAATCCAATTACCTCTCAGCTCGCCTTGTTGGTTAAAATAATTGATTCCAATAAGTAATGCTTTTTTGTGTCCTCCATTCCTATGACCCATGTTTTGTGGCGGAACCATGTAGCCACCTTGAAATTGTTGATTTTGTTGAAATTGCTGATTTTGTGGAGCATAGCCACCAGATGGTGGCCCTTGAGGTGGTCCTGAAGGTGGTATGTAACCACTAGATGGTGGTCCGGGAGGTGATACATAGCTACCAGTTGGATAGGCATTTGATGGCGGTCCTGGAATACTTGAAGGTGGTGCATAACTACCAGGTGGTGGTCCTGGTGGCAATGTATAACCACTAGGCGGTGGCCCTTGAGGTGGCGTGTAACCACTAGGTGGTGGTCCTGGAGGTGGTGTATAGCCGCCTAAGGGCGATTGTCCCGGAGGTAAATGACTATTGGGGGGAGGCCCTGAAGATGGTGGATAACCGCTATGAGGTGAATAATATTGTTGATTTGATGGTGGCAAAGCAAATCCTCCTGAAAAATTTTGGTTTTGTTGGTTTGGTGATTGCTGTTGCTGATTTTGCTGCGAGTATTGTTGTCCTGGATACATTTTGCAAATATAATCACTAGTTTAGAGATCTGAAAAGTAAAAAATAATTTTCGTACGCAATTTATACATAACGATAATAATTTTTCTAACTAGATTTCCTTGATTTCCTCAATTGGCATTTGTTTAGCCAATCATCTATTTGTAGTTAAATATATATGTGGCGTAACTTGGCATAATACCCACGAAAATAATGCCGCAATGTCGTGATCACACATATATGGTAGTTTAATGTTTCATCTGTTTGTGTACAACGGTAAACATCAAAAATGCCCGACGTAATTTTTTGAAACCGAATTAGTGACAACTATTATATACAAAATTTTTATTAAGTAAGCTAATCATTTGAAAGCTATAGATAGTTGAAATAAAAGAGTATTATATAAATTTTTATAAATATATAAAAATCTAAAGATTTGAAATACGCAAATCGACAGAGGTTTTAATATCAGCTTAGAATATACTATTGTGAAACCGGAATATTGTAACCGATCACGTGGAAAATGCACGAAATGCAATAAGTGCAATAAGTTACATTTAAGATCGGAAACGGTATTTTGGATCCAAAGGGGTAGATAGGAATAAAAGGAGGAAATGAAGGATATTAAATATATACGTGTAAATAGCTTTAATTAGTTTTAATAGATAATAAGTGTTAAGTCGCATTTGTGAGCGACGAATTCAGAATTATAAATAAAGGCCGAAATGGCCCTTAGGAGCAGTATGCTTCGTTTGCTTTATTAAATAGCAAGTCCTAATACATTACATTGTACATAATAAACACTAACACTATTACCGTTACAAACCTTGTAAACCCCCATAATCATTGTTATTCGTTCGAGTTCTTTATCACGTGACTTACCCTGCTTGTCTTCTCTGACCCAAAGTAACCGAAAGACTTAATCACCCACCAGCCAAATCTAACACTCTCTTTCGAAAAGGTTATCTATCGTACGTTACGCGAGATTTTGGATTGTGAAGAGACCGAGTCGCAGTTATCCGAACCTAACACTGTATATCGGGTGCTTGAAAGTCACTAAACGTTCTCAGATAAAACAGTTAAATTTAACGCGTAAAATTATTTAACTAATACATTATTATCGATTTTTTCACCTGTCATATTTTACATAACAAATAAATTACATAATTTTTAGTTCCATTTAAATTAGCATTGTACTATATAATTTATTAATGTTTGAATTATTGGATTTTATAGTAAAATTAATATTATTATTCCAAAAAAAATTAAATCTTTTAACAAAGTATTTTTTCAAAGTGCATCAGCTGATACATTCATTTCTTCGATTTAAAAACAATATCCCAAGGACTCAAAGAATTTAGCGAGGTATAGGGATGGAATGGTTGAGCTTGGCTTAAACCATGACTTAAACCATAGCTTAAATCGTGGCTCAACCATGGTTTAAACCATAGCTTAACCATGGCTTAAACCATAACTTAAAGTACGGCCTAAGCCATGGTTCAAACCATGGATTAAACCATGATTTAAGCCATAATTCAAATTTAAGTCCTAAGAATAAAATTTTAATATTAATTAGGCATCCATGCAAAAAGCATCAGAGCTTAAAAAAATTCATTACTCAGCATTAGAGTTAAAGCTTGGAAGTTACGATGATCTTAAAAATTAAACTTGATATTGATGAAGCCTCTCTAGAAAAGGTATAGTACCAGGATATTATATCAGTCATGTAGTTTAAACAATTGATATAAGTGCCTGATTTTATGTTACTTTTAATTGTAGTACTCTGATTATTGTACCTTAAACTATACACAGTGCCCAGAGGATACTATTTATGGTTATAAAGTTTAGCTTTATATGCTTAGGGTACTATAAGATACACTATATGGTAAATATAAATGACTAATGTTATATAATTTATATTAATACTATAAAAAGTTGTACCTTATTACAATTGTTATAACTAATTACCTTATTTATAATATTAATATTAAATCTTATTTTATTTATTAGACTATTCGTAATATTATTATTAAAATTTCTTCTATATTAGTCATTTTTTATAGTTATTATTTCTAGTTTCAGATTTTATACCTTTTTACACAAACATTTAATATTTTAATTGGTGTTTAAGTTGCCTACCACTTACTTTATATCAGATTATTTCTTTTCTTTCAATATATAGTTTAGATACAGTCAGACTTCGATATAATCACTCTTGATATAGTCACGAAATATAAAAATAATTCTATTATCGTTTTACCAACCATTATAAAGCATAAAAAAATTAACCTCTGTATAGACACTATCACCTTAGTCACATTGCATTTTGGTTACCAACCCGGTGATTATATTGAGGTCTGACTGTATTAAAAATATATCTATATTTAGTAAAGTTAATTTTTTATTACAAATAATTCTTATATTTATTACTTTTTTTATTATTTTAGTTTTAGTTATAAATATTTTTCTAATCAAACTCTTACTTTAAGTATTATCTAGCGTTATATAAGCAATATATTGATTATTTTTTTAAACAAGTATCTTATAAAAATATTAGTACTACTTATTTAAGATGTTTTTAAATATTAATATTGCCTATTTTTTTAAAGACTTATATGCGCATATTATTTTTAACCAGAATCTTCTATATCATTACTGTTATATATAATATTTTCTCTTTATAAGTGAGCTTTTTTTAGATTTTTTTATTTTAAATATGCACCTGTGTTTGAACTTTTATAGAGTTTATAGTATTTATATTAGATTATAGTATATTTTTTTAAAATATCTTTAATTTAACTTAAATTGTCAATTTTGTTTATAAAGATTTAAGAGTTTAATCAATTAAGTTACAAAATTTAGACTTATTACAATATTTTATATATTATATTATTGGTTGTCTCATTAAGCATGTTACATCAACTTGATACATTTGAATTAAAATATAATTATACAAAATTTTACATATTAATTTGCAATTAAATAAATGTATTTAAAATTTAAAAATTTATAGAATATATTTATAAAAAAAATTAATTTAATTTTTAATTATATAATGTTTAAAAAAATCTCAAAGTTAGTTAATTTTTTTTTTTAAAAAAATTAAAATTTTTTAATATATTTTTAAATCAACCTATCACAATTTAGTATTTTTTTATGCTACTACACAAGTACTTTAGTATAATTTAAATGTATGAACTTGCAAAATTTCAACTAAGATTATTATATAAAAAAAAGTTATAATAGAAAACAATTAGCTATTTAAATTAGTGTACTAATAAAAAATTAATAATTTTATATAATAAAATTAATAATACTTATAAATAAATAAGTTAGTAATTATAAAATTTTTTAAAATTTAAAAATTTTATTTATATTTTATATATAAAATAAACTTCTTAATATATATTTTATATTTATATTATTTAAAAATATATTAATTATTAATTTTTTTAAGATAATCTTTTTAGTTTTTTGATTTTTATTAATGACTTTTTTGGCAATGCGATTCTGTAAACCATTACAGTATAATTGATTATGCATGTAACTTTTCTATATTACTTATTTAAGAAATCTGTTCAAAGGTTTCTTACCAATTATTATATTTAATACTTCTGCTTAGATGTTCCATTTTAAACTCTCTGAACCTACACTTGTATTAACATTATTGAATTATATTTAGATTATTATCTTAATTTTAAAACTATTTTATCTTTAATATAAACCTTTTAGAGCCTTCTATATTTATTTTTATAGTTGATATTAATATTATTATAGCAGAACTAACACTTGTAATTAGAGTTTTATTTTTAACTGTTGTGTTTTTATAAAATTTACTTAAACTCTAGCATTTACTTAATAGCATATCTCTAGTACTTTAGTATATTTTTGTCTGTTTTTTAAACTCCTAATATAGATAGCTTATATATATAAGACTACAACTAGTCTATTAGTATATTAGATTAACCCAATATTCTTTTTCTCTAGTTTATTTTAATAGTCTGGTTAGTAATATTTCTGAAACTTCTAACTTAAAGGTTTTTATCTGTCCTAGTATTTCAATATTAGTATTTGTTTCTAGTAGTCTAGTCTTTATAATAGCATTGTTAAAACTTTATGCTATCTTTCTATACAGATTTTTTCAAATAAATTTCTTGCTTTCTAATTTATATATTTATATGGTCACAAGAACTTATTTAAAGTTTGTATTACTTGATATTAGTTTGCATTTCTTTATATAACTAGTTACACAAATATCTTATAACCTGTCAGTTATGCTAGTATGACTGTCATTACAGATATTTTAATATAATTGTTAAAAACAGTTACTGTAATACAAATATTATATAAATTATTATTCAAATTTTTATAATTGATAGAATTTGAATATATAATCTATCTTTTGGAGAGTTAGCAACTTATTCACTTTACTAAGTTATTATACTTCTTATTATTATTTTATAAACTTACTATATAAATATATTGTATATAAAAAATTACTATATTTTTTATATTTACAAATACTTATTTATAAATTAATCTAATAAAATTTTAAAATTTTAAAAAAATTTATCTTATATATAAATAATATAAACCTATTTTTACTTAATAGATAAAATATAGTTTATATAATAAAAAAAAGTATAAATTATAAACTATATAATTTAAATATTTTTTATAAATTTATAAATTAATAAGAAAAAATATTTAATTAAAATATAATGAATTTATTTTTAAGTCTTAATATTATAGTATATATAATTCTAAAACTATAGTTTAAAATAACAGTTATTAAATTTAATATTATTAATAAGTTTTTTTAATTTATTTTATAAAATAGAATGTATCAAAAATGATGATACAGTTTATATATATAAATAATTTTAATTATTTATGCAAATTAATATCAATATATAGTTAAATTTTTTAAATATACTATTTTAAATATATAATAAAATTTTGGTTTATAATAAAACTTATTCCTTAGATTGTAGGCTTTCACAAACAAATTTGTCTATATAAT